ATATATTTTAGATTTTAGATTGTTCCAAATCAAAGGGAGGAGGTAGCCGAGTGACAACACTTCTTCATCTTGTACATGAGGGGTGAAAGACCTAAAAAGGTAAAAATGGTGCGGGTTGGCTATTTATCAATCATGTAATTGAAAAATAATTAATATTTATAAAATCGTTGTAAATAGTCATCTTTAATGCGAACATAAATTTTTTTAGATAAAAATACCCTTAGTTAAAATAAAAAAAATTCCAGCATAATATACTGGAATTCAAAACTTTTACAAGTGAAACTCCAACATAATATGTTAGTATTAAAATTGGGTGAACTTCCCCCTCAACTTTGAACAATAGTAATTCTCCCTCTTTTATCCTACACAATACCTTTTTCTGCCCTTGCATTTTTAATTTCCGCCTCTATTTAATATTTTTTTTATCATACGATTTTTGTAATGGTTTTAGCTCTAATTTAAATTATGTAATACCTATTATAAATTATAATGTATGTTCATTAAAATTATAAGTAGAATAATCCTTTTATAAATATTATAAATTCACCGTCATCTTTATGAGTTGCTATTTTAATGTAATGCATATTAACTATATATTTAAGTTATCTTTTTTTAATGGCCGAGTCAGAAATCCATATAAGAGGATTGAAAACACCCCCAAAAAAATTTATTTAGGATTTGAAGTTGTGAGCTAAGATAACTTTTGAATCTCTATACCACTTTAATAACATATTCTTATGTCAAAGGGATTCAAAAATTTATATATAACTAAAAAGTTTGTTTTTGTCCTATTTGTGCTGTCTAATTTTCTGGCGAGGGGATTCAATTGAATTCTCTTACCTCCTTTGCCCGTTAACTTTCTCTCTTATTCTCTATTGTTGATATAGATTTTAAGATTTTGATTACCATTAATGAACTAATTTTTAAATTTATATTATAAAATTCATTTATAATAAGGTATAACATAATTTAAATTAAAGATAAAACCATAAAAATCTCATAGAATAAAAAAGTATAATATATAGAGGAGGGAATTAAAAATTCAAGGGCAAAAAACGCATTGTGCAGGATATAGGAGGGTAAAATGACTATTGTTCAAAGTTGAGGGGGAAGTTTGATTTTTAAAGCAAAGTTAGGAAGTGTAAATGGTTTTCACCCTACTAAAAATTCTATACCTGTAAGAGGTCGTTTGGTAGAGTGTGTTAGAGAAAATAATGCATGCATTAGCTTTGTGTATTAGTAATGCTTTGTTTGGTGCACTTTTTCAACTTATGTATAATTAATACAAGTATTAGTTATACACTCTATTTGGTATTATCCTATGTATAGCTAATGCATAGAAAACCATGACATTAGCTATACAAAGGCTATTAATGCATGCATTAGCATGGTTAAAGACAAAATTATCCTTAAAGTCCCTTAAGTTAAAGAATATGGAGGGCACTTTTGTAAATAATTAAATTTCTTAAAAATTATGCAATGCATTTTAATTTTTAATACACCACACCAAACAATGCATAAGAAATAATCTTTGTATAACTAATGCTTGCATTACTAACCCATGCATTACTAATGCACCTTATTTAGCATTATTCTTATACGCCCTATCAAACGACCCCTAAAAGTGCAGCATTAAAATTTAGAACTTTACAAGTGAATGTTCCAGTGTATTGTATTGGAGTTGTAAAAAATCTTAAAATGAAATGTAGCCTTTCGTTGATAATAATCCTTAGTTTTATATCTGAAAGCAATTTCAGCATTTTAAAAATGATCGAACGTAAAGGAATTCGAACACATGAATTTTTAACTAGATAAATGTGATATTGGAGGGATTTACACTATTTTGAACTCTAGCTTAAACCATCTGCATTATTGTTTACTTTTAGGCATTCTATTTATAAAAACTTTCATCACATCTAAATATTACTGTCGGATTTTATTATTTCCTTGATTAGCACAACTTTTTTTTTAAAGATATGTAACATGCATAATCCTAGGATTTCAAATTCACGAATTTTCAATTGACAATTCATGTTCCATTGGATTTTAATTACAAAATTAGAATATGTTCTTTTGTATTAGACAAAGGTTTTGATCTATTTTAAGACAAACTTATAGATTCGTGGCTTCTGATCTACCCAAAATATTTTAAAAAATACCGCGATAAACTCACACACCTTCATTAGTCCCTCCTCATTCTTTGTTCCACTATAGGGCATTGTCACAGAGCTTTTAAGTACAGTCAAACCTCTCTATAACAGGCATTTGTTCCAGATATTTTTGATTGTTATAACGAAGTGCTATTACAGAAAACATATATTATAGCATAACATGAAAGTTGGTTCTGAAAAATCTTGACTTTTATATCGAAGTGTTGTTATATAGAGGTTTGATTGTAGTAAATAAAAGTTAAACTCCATGATAATATTTTAGAGTTTTCACTTGTATTTTTTTTTGTCTTTGAGACAGTACCCCGGAGTTTCAACTTGATAATATATGAAGTTCAAAAGAAAAAGATGAAAAAGTGGATTTACGACGCTTGAGGTTATTTTTGTTCAAAGTTTATGTTTGCATTAAGTGGTCGTTTGGACATAAGACTTGTAAAATTTCAAAAAAGATAAATCTTTTTTTTCAAGTGAAAATGATATTTGAAAATTAGAGTTGCGTTTGTATATGAATAAAATTTTGGATCGTTTTTGAAATTTTGTGAGTGATTTGAGTGAAAATTTTAAAAAATAGCTTTTTGGAGTTTTTCAAATTTCCGAAAAATTCCAAAATGCTTCTTCAAGTGAAAACTGAAAATTTTATGAACGATTTCGGAAAAAAAGGGAAAAATTCTTATGTCCAAACGGGCTCGTACTTAAAAATGACTATTTTTTAAATTACATTTTCAACTATGGATCGGAATTTTCTTCCCTAAAAAAGAGAACAAATAAAGAAATAGGTTGTCAGTGGGAAAAAACTTGTGAAAATCTCTCCACCAATAGGAGTGCTAGTGTGCTACTGCAACTGTGGCATAGTACGGCTGCTACTGCTATTATGCCACGGCGCTTTACCATGGAAAAAAACAAATATTTTGGTATTCCTACCCACCCATTTACTTGCATACAGTACTCATCATTATTCCTCTCTTTACATACAGTACTCATCAAAACCACATTGCAGAATCTGCTCTGCTCTCTTTCTCAAAAACCCAATTATGACAAGTTCACAAACGGTAAAGTTTGCTGCATTTCAATTGAAAAAAATGTAAATTTTCGTTCTGGGTTTTGTTTTGTTTAGCTGTTAAGATAAACCTGATTTAGCTAGCCATACTGCATTGTAGTTCTGATGTTCGAATTTTGATCAAAGCCACCACCTTTATCGATTTTCCTTTGATGGGTGCCTAAATAATTTCATATCTGCATTTTTTGTTTATTTTCTGATGATATCTTAGCATAGTTCTTGCCTAATTTATCGGAAACAAACTCTCTGCCCTCCTAAGATAGGGGAACTGGCTTGGTTTTTTGTTGTTGTATAGTTCTTGACTAAATTTCTTCTCTTTTTTCATGACGATGGTGCTCGGACCAGCTTGCGCGCACCTCGACTATTCTACGTAGCTGCTAACTCCCACCAGCGCAAGTACTTGGTAGCATTTTTTCTATATAGAGTAACATTTCATTTACTGCATTGTGATTGTGATTATCCCTGTTAATCATCAGTGTCAAGTTTCTTCTCTTTTTTTTTTGTTCTATATACTGTTCTGCGTGTAATATTGCTAATTCTCTTGCAATAGAGAAAAAAAGATCTCCATATCTGCATTTTTTCTTAATTCTAATGACCTAAGGTAGTTTTTGGAACAGTGATGACGAAGAGGAAGAAAAATAAGAGCTTGAGGAAGGAAGAAATAGCAGAAGACTGGTGTTTTGTTTGCAAAGATGGTGGCCAACTGCTAATTTGTGATTATGGGTAAGTTTTTTCTTCCAACAATCTTGTAATTTATCGTTAGTTATTTAATGTACTGTGAATATAATTGTGTCTCATTATTTAATATTGTTGGTGAATCTTGTACTGACTCTTTTAAAAGGAAGAAGGATTTATACTCTGTTTGTGTTCACTTAACGGAGGTCTGAATTTGAATGGTTTGACCTTAGACCATTAAGTACATTTGTTTTTTCATTTAACCATTTAATGAGTCTAGGCTTTTTAAGCGAAGCAGCTTTTGCTATCTTCTAATTTCTAAATTTTATCACATAAGATGTTACAATAATTTTTCATGTAAAAAATTGTCACAATCTAAGCTATGGACCATAGCAGACACCGAGTGTGCTTGCCCACTTAGTGAACCAATTATTAACAACAATCTCATCATTCATCAACGAAAATAAATACTCAAAGTTGCTTAATCAATATCAAATGATGTATTCATCACAAATAGAGCTTAACAAATTCACAACCTTAACTCCACGTTGTCCATAACCAACCTAAATAGATAACTTTGACAGGAGAGAGTTCATGTAGTGTGTGTAGATTCATAACAAACACGACCTACTAAACAAGTAAAAGAAAGAACAAAGCCAACAAGTTCCCATGGGAAGGCAAGTGGGGCTAAACAAGAATGCTAGCTTGACTGCAATACAAAGGTGCAACCACAAATATGTTTTTTGGATATATATATATATATTGTTAGTTTGGTTGTTAAATAGTTACATGTAAATAACCCTAATCCTATATGTAGTAGGAGTGGAACATGTATTAGAGTTTTTGGCGACAATCATCCCTTAACTATAGCTCAAACCTAAGGTACATCCTTGGGTTATCTCAGTAAACAAAAAACATCCTTATATTATTTAAAATGTGGTAAGAATCATCCTTCTGTTAACTTTTGTAAAAAAAAAAATAACAGCGTCAACAAAAAAACATGTCAAGCACGTGCCTTTCCCCCTAAATTTTCCCATTTTGTCCCTTCCGGATTGTCTTCCACCTTCAGCAGAAGAGCTCTAGTTTTTGGTGAAATTTGTATTCCTATACTGTAATAGTACCTCACCAGGGAAAAAGACTAAAAGTCCATAATGTTATATATAGAATAATATATATATATATGTACTATTTACTAATAAACTACTGAGAAGGGCAGCGACAATGAAGTGCCGAAAGGGACGACTGATGTGGTGGTTATAGACAGTGCTACGGATGAGGAGAACATCGGAGATTTGGTCAGTGAGCCATCTCTTCCGGAAGGCGGTGAATCGTGTGTGGATGTGTTGCAGGGCTCGGAGATTGAAGGCAAAGCCTAAAAGAAAAAGGAATTGAAAGAGAAGGAGGAAGAAGAAGGAAGTGATAATCCGACATCGGAGATTTGGTCGGTGAGCCATCTCTTCCGGAAGGCGGTGAATCGTGTGTGGATGTGTTGCAGGGCTCGGAGATTGAAGGCAAAGCCGGAAAGAAAAAGGAAGTGAAAGAGAAGGAGGAAGAATAAGGAAGTGATAATCCTACTGAATAATTTAGTACAAGTAGCACTAGATATGTAAAAGATTGTGTATGTGAAGCTTAAAATTATTGGATTTTAAATTTAAAAAATGACTGCTATGATTAGAAAGGCTTTTGCACTGATCTTATAAAACCATAGTCTGGTAAAGGCTTTTGCTTTAGAAATAGTTAAAGGAATTGGAAATACAATTTGTTTATTATTTTTAATCATATCAGCCATTTATGAAGAAGCTTTTGAAGCTTGTTTTTCGTGTATGGGTAATGGGTATAGTTATCGGTATGGTTTTTTTTAATTAATTAGGAGATATTTAAAATTGGCCAACAGGACAATAACTACATTAAGTAAATATAAAATAAATAATTGGGTTCACAAAAAAAATATGGATATTGAGTGACTTTTTTAACACATATACAGAGTAGTGCAAAAGCTACTGGGTTCACGGAAACCCACGCGTAATAGGATGGATCCGCCTTGTGTACAAGTCGTATCTTCAATTTTGTCTTAAATTTGTTGTGTGTATTTTACAAGTTCAACAAAACTTTTAGTTTATGAAGCCTTAGTTTGGTGAAGGTGGAAGACATTGGGCGGTAGGGACAAGACAGGGAAAATTTAGGGGGAAAAGCATGTCCTTGACATGTTTTTTGCTAATGCCATTAGTCTTTTTGACAAAAGTTAACGGAAGGATGATTTTTGCTGCCTTTTAGATAATATAGGGATGTTTTTTGTTTACAGAGGTAACTCAAGGATGCACCGTAGGTTTGAGCTATAGTTAAGGGATGATTTTAGCCAAAAACTCACATGTATTATATATATAGGACTCATTGTATCATTGTCAATATGTGTGAATAAGATTTTTCTCCCATGCATTCTCACATGGTATTATTGAATCTCATGTTCCGTTGCGTTTTTGGGGCGATGCAGTTCTCACAACTTGTTATTTGGTTAATCGGATGCCTTCATCTCCCATCTAGAATCAGATTCCGTATTTAGTATTGTTTCCCCAGTCACCTTTATACTTTCTTCCCCCTCGTATTTTTGTGAGTACTTGTTTCGTTCATAACTTAGCCCCTGGGAAAGATAAGTTAGCTCCTCGTGCTCTCAAGTGTGTCTTCCTTGGTTATTCTCGTATTCATAAGGGATATCGTTGTTACTCACCTGATCTTCGTAGGTACCTTGTGTCAGCTGTCGTCACATTTTTTGAGTCTAAACCTTTCTTTACCTCTTCTGACCACCTTAATATATCTGAGGTCTTACCTATACCGACCTTTGAGGAGTTTACTATAGCTCTTCCTTCACCTTCTGCCACAGAAATCTTACCCATTCCAACAGTTAAGGAGTCTAGTATGGCTCCTCCTAGATCCCCAGACACAGGAACACCACTCTTGACTTATCATCGTTGTTTGCGCCCAGTATCAGGCCTAGCTGATTCACGTCCTGCACCTGACCCTGCTCCTACTACGGACTTGTCTCTTCCTAGTACATTGATTGCACTTCGGAAAGGTATATGGACCACGCTTAATCCTAATCCCCATTATGTCGGTTTAAGTTATCATCGTCTTTCATCACCCCATTATGCTTTTATATCTTCTTTGTCCTCTGTTTCCATCCCAAGTCTACAGGTGAAGCATTGTCTCATCTAGGATGGCGACATGCTATGATTGACGAGATATCTACTTTACATACGAGTAGTACTTGGAAGCTCGTTCCTCTTCCTTCAGGTAAATCTAATGTTGGTTGTCGTTGGGTGTATGCACTCAAGGTTGGTCCGGATGGCAAGGTTGGTCGACTTTAGGCCCGTCTTATTGCCAAAGGATATACTCAGATATTTGGGCTCGATTACAGTATACCTTCTCTCCCGTGGCTAAGATAGCATCAGTCCGCCTTTTTCTATACATGGCTGCTGTTCGCCATTGGCCTCTCTATCAACTGGACATTAAAAATGCTTTTCTATACGGTGACTTTGAGGATGGAATTTATATAGAGCAACCACCTGGGTTTGTTGCTCAATGGTAGTCTCGTGGCCTTGTATGTCGCTTGCGCCGGTCACTTTATGGTCTAAAGCAGTCTGCTCGAGCCTGTTTGGTAAGTTCAGCACAGTTATCCAGGAGTTTGGCATGACTCGTAGTGAAGCTGATCACTCTGTGTTTTATCGGCATTCTGCTTCAAGTCTCTGTATTTATCTGGTGGTCTATGGTGACGATATTGTTATTACTGGCAATGATCGGGATGATATTACTAAATTGAAGCAACATCTCTTTCAACACTTTCAGACTAAGATCTGGGCAGACTAAAGTATTTTCTGGGTACTGAGGTCGCTCAGTCTAGCTCAGGTATTGTGATATCACAGCGGAAGTATGCCTTAGACATTCTTGAGGAGACAGGAACGACAGGTTGTAGACCGATTGACACTCTAATGGATCCGAATTCTAAACTTCTGCCAGGACAGAGGGGAGCCGCTTAGCGATCCTGCAAAATATAGGCTGCTGGTAGGTAAATTAAATTATCTCATAGTGACTAGACTTGATATTTCCTTTCCCGTGAGCGTTATAAGTCAGTTTATGGATTCTCCCTGTGATAGTCATTGGGATGAAGTTGTCCACATTTTTCGGTATATAAAATCGACTCCAGACAAAGGGTTATTGTTTGAGGATCGATGCCATGAGTAGATCGTTGGATACTCAGATGCTGATTGGGCAGGATCACCTTCTGATTGCCGTTCTACGTCTGGATATTGTGTTTTAGTAGGAGGCAATTTGGTGTCTTGGAAGAGCAAGAAACAGAATGTAGTTGCTCGGTCTAGTGCAGAAGCAGAATATCGAGCAATGGCTATGGCAACATGTGAGCTAATTTGGATCAAACAATTGCTCAAGGAGTTGAAATTTGGTGAAATCAGCCAGAGAGAACTTGGTATTGCATCAAATCCGGTGTTCCATGAGAGGACTAAACACATTGAAATTGATTGTCACTTCGTCAGAGAGAAGATACTCTCACGAGATATTGCTACAAAATTTGTGAATTCGAATGATCAACTTGCTGATATTTTCACCAAGTCTCTCACTGGTCCTCGTATTAGTTATATATGTAACAAGCTCGGTACATATGATTTATATGCACCGGCTTAAGGGGGAGTGTTAGTTTGGTAGTTAAATAGTTACATGTAAATCACCCTAATCCCATATGTAGTAGGAGTAAAACATGTATTATATATATAAGACTCATTGTACAATGTCAATACGTGTGAATAAGATTTTTCTCCCGTGCATTCTCACATACATGTATAGGAGTTACTGCATCATATTACAACTAGGGACTTTTCTAGTGAAATAGTCCCTTTTAAATCTGAATCAAAATTTTCTATTACTGAATGGGAGGGGTGTCAAAAAAGGGAAAGAAACTTCTTTTCCATTCTGCTTGAACCTTGTTTTAGAAAGGCTATACGCTGCCTGGCTTCCCTCCCTATATATATGCTTGGTTCACC